TAATTTGAATACAGTCATGATATTTCAAATATAAAATATGGGTCTAGAACTGAATAACTAACCATAATTTGCTTTCTGCAAAATTATAGTGTGAAAATGACATCTTCATGAAAGGAAAACATTATGGAAAAAATTTAACATTCCAAACTAACTTAAAATGCCAGGAAGTGCCTTGATCTGAATCAGAGTCTATGATACCATACTGGTTTCAAGGTAATGAAGAAAAGGAGTAACAAAAATTTTTAAATGGAATCTGGAAGAAAATGTCTTTTGAGGAGCATAATAATCTTGAAATGGCTTTCTCTAGTAAACAGAAAACAGAACACAATCTCCCCAATCATAAAGCATTTCCAAAATATAAACTTTTCTTTGAAACAGCATGTGTTAATAATCAAGAAAGGGACAGTTATACACTTTTGTGGTCATATGAAAGTCCTGATAATCAGAAAAGATGGAATACTTTCTGACCATTTAGGATTTCCTAGTCCCCCAAAGATAACTGCAATTAGTACATCTGTTTTTATGTTAGCAAACTTTTGGCATTTATAGTCTGCAATAATTGTGACAAAGAGCTTCCTAACAATTTTGTAGTATCATGTCTATTTTGCATTATATGTTAAAACTATTTATTATTATTTACGTATTTAAGACAATTGATTTTTTAAATAGTAACTCTGTGCTAGGACATCTTAATAAATTCTCTTTTGTGCATTTTTGAGCTGATGCCCTCAGGTTTTCCAAATAAATAATATCAGCTGCAAATAATGATAATTTTGCCTTTTTTCTTTCTAATTTTTGCCTTTTTTGGGGGTAATTGAACTGATTAGTGCTGCCCAAATAAAGTAAACTGTGAGGTCAGTGAACATCCTTGCTCTGGATTTAAAGTTTCATAAGATACAGTGGCTTTGAGTATAGAGCACATACACACATATACATTAAGATTATTAAAAACCACATAGTCATGGATTGGAGGTATTAATCTTGTTATAACGTATACACTAACCAAAGCAATCTACAGAATCAATGCAATCCCTACTACAATACTAATGACATTTTTCACAGGACTAGAAGAATCCTAAAATTCATATGGAACTACAAAAGACCTCGAATAGCCAAAGCAATCTTAAAAAAAAAAAAGAACAAAGCCAGAGGTATCACAATCCCTGATTTCAAACTAGAATACAAAGACACAGTATTCACAGAATATGGCACTGGCACAAAAACAAACACATAGATTAATGGAATGGGATAGAGAGCCCAGAAATAAACCCACACTTACATGGTCAATTAATTTACAACAAAGGGAGCAAGAATATATGATGTGGCTAAAGACAGTTTTTTCAATAAATGGTGTTGTGAAAACTGGACAGCTACATGCAAAAAAATGAAAATGGACCACTTTCTTATACCATACACAAAAATAAAATTAAAATGGATTAAAGATCTAAATGTGAGACCTTAAACCATAAAATTCATAAAAGAAAACATATGCAGTAATCTCTTAGACATCACCCTTAGCAACATATTTATGGACTGTCTCCTCAGGCAAGGGAAACAAAAGCGAAAATAAAATATTAGGACTATACCAAACTAAAAAACTTTTGCAAAGCAAAGGAAACTATCAACAAAATAAAAAGGCAACCTAGAGAATGGGGAAAGATATTTGCCAGTGATATATCCAATAAAGGGTTAATATCCAAAATATATTAGGACTTATAAATCTCAGCACAAAAAAAGCAAACAATGTGATTAAAAGATGGGCAGAGGATCTGAATAGACATTTTATCAAAGAAGAAAAACAGATAGCCAATAGACACACGGAAAGATGCTCAATCAACATTGCTAATCATCAAGGAAATGCAAATCTGAATGTGCTGCCTTCTCCAAATCATATTTGTATTTACAGCTTCCTCTAAATATAACCCAGTCAGAATGACTAGTATCAAAAGAAATAACAAGTGTCGTCAACGATGTGGAGAAAAAGAATCCCTTGTGCACTGCTACTGGGAATTTAAATTGGTACAACCGCTGTGGAAAACAATATGGAAGTTCCTCAAAAAATTAACAAGAGAAATACCATTTGATCCAGTATTCCACTAGTGGGTATTTACTCAAAGAAAACAAAAACACTAATTCAAAATATACATGCACCCCTATGTTTATAGTAGCATCATTTACAATAGCCAAATTATCGAAGTAGCCCCAGTGTCCACTGATGAACGGATAAAGAAGATGTGGTATATAAATACAAGAAATAATCATCAGCCATAAAAAGGAATGATATCTTGCCATTTAAGACAACATGGATGGACCTAGAAGGTATTATGCTAAGTGAAATAAGACAGAGACAAACACCATATGCTTTAACTTACATGTGGAGTCTAAAAAACAAAATAAATGAACAAACAAACTAACATACTCTTAAAACACAGGGAACAAACTGGTAGTTGCCAGAGGGGAGTGGAGGTGGGTAGCTGGGTAAAATAGGTAAAGGAGATTAGGAGGTACAATCTTCCAGTTATAGAATAAATAAAACATGTAGATGAAAAGTACAGTATATGGAATAAAGTCAGTAACATTGTAATAACGTTGTATGGTGACAGATGGTCACTATACTTACCATGGTGAGCACTGAGTAATGTACAGAATTGTCAAATAACTATGTTGTACACCTGAAATTAATTTATCATTATATGTCAACTATACTTCAATAATTTAAAAATTATTAAATATTATAAAAGGATGGGTGCTGAATTTTATCAAATTACATCTCAGCATGGAGATGATATAATGAAGTTTTTCCTTTTCATTAGTAACATGACTATATTAATACATTTTCTAATATTAAACAATACTTGCTGATATGAATTCCATTTGCATCTGATTAACATATTACGTCTTTTCATGAGTTTCTGGTTTATATTAATATTGAAGATTTCTACATTCATAATCTTAAGTAAAAAAGGTCCTTTTTTTTCTGTATGATATTGTCTGATTTTGCTATCAGTGAAATGCCTTCATACAAACAATTTGGAAGGACTCCTTCTATCTCTGTTCCACAGCCCTTTAAAAAGTATCAAAACACACTAGGGTTACTTTAAAAATTTGTAGAAAGGATAAAGGAAAACATACACATACACACACACACACACACACACACACATACACAAACACACACTGGGGAAATAATGTGAGAGACTCCTATCACAGACAAAGAACTGATTTCTATAATATATAAAGATTTCCAATATATCGATAAGAAAAAAAACAGCCAGTAAGTTTAGTAGGATGAAGGGCAAAGAACATAAACAGAAATTAGCAGGAAAAAAAGTATAAATGTCTCTTACATGCATGAAAAAATGCTCAACTGCATTTAATAACATAAGAAGGCAACAGTCAGAAGACATTGGCAAGATAAAATAGTATCTGAACAGGTTGGAAAAGTGTGGGGAAAGAGACAATCTTATTGCTGGTAGGAATATAAACTAGTATAATGTTAGTAGAGCAGTCTGCAACAATATGTTTTGTTTAATCTTGATGAACTGTATAAAGAGAGAATTTAAAAATTACATTCTTTATTTTCTATTAGCTGTATTCATACTTTGGTTGCTTCAGACTTTATATATATTGTTCTTAAGAATTAGGAAAAACTTTCATGTGTTTTAAATTTGTCACTTCTATTCTTTATAGAACCTTGTAGTGCCAAAAACTTTTTAAAAGGTTAAAAAAAAAATAAACGACAACGTCAAGAAAAAAAAAACAATCTAAAAAATATAAAAATACACATGCCCTTTTGTGCCAGCAATTCCAATTCTATAAATTTATCCAACAGATTTAGTCCTGTGTGTGTGACATGAAATATTAAAATAACTCATAATTATTGAGTGCTCACTGTGTGCCACTGACTATTCAAGCCCTTTACAAATATTAGCTAATGTAAGTCTCCTAATAACTCTCTGAGATAGGAATAATTTTCTCTTTTTACAGCTGAAGACATGAAGGTATGGGGAGGTAGAGTAACTTTCGTAAAATGAAACGCGGTAAGTACTCGATATGAATATGAAAGACAGGTGGTCTAGCTCTAGTTTTCCATGCTTTTTGCCAATATAATGTACTGCCTCTCAAAACATGCAAGGATATTCATTGTGGTATTGTATGCAACAGCTATGTACCACAAACAGACGTCTATTGGTAGTAGACTCAATAAATTAGAGTGCATGCAAACAGTGGAATACATGCAGCATTTAAAAATAAAAAAAGAACGTCAAAGCTCAAAAACTGATATGGAAGGATCTCTAATAGATATTAGGTGAAGAGTGCAAACCACAGAACAATGTGTACCTTATATTACTATATATGTAGAAATAAAATGAAATAATATTATACACACATAATCACATATGGTTTTTCATGCATGGAGTATCTCCAAAAAGATACACAATTAATTGCCAACACTGGTTACCTGGGAAGGAAAATGGCTGGCTGGGAGACATGAGTGGAATGGGAACTTACTTTTCAATTTTGTACATTGTGCACATTTATCCAGTCAATACAAATAAATAATTTCAAAAATAAAATGGAAGGTAAAAAATTAAAGAAAAAAATGCCATTATCTATTTCTTTTATTTATTTTATGTATAGGTCTTTCACACATGATTTTTTTTTTAATTTTTAAAAAAGATTTATTTATTTATTTGAGAGGGAGAGAGAGAGAGCATGAGCCCAGGGGGAGGTGCAGAGAGAGAGGGAGAAGCAGGCTCCCCATGGAGCAGCGAGCCTGATGCTGGGCTTGATCCCAGGACCCTGAGATCATGACCTGAGCCGAAGGCAAATGCTTAACTGATTGAGCCACCCAGGCGCCCCACAAGATTTTACTTGAAGAAATTATTCCATAGCTACCACAGGTTTGAAAAGCACTGGAACAAAGAATGACTAATAAAACCTTAATGTTCACAGTAAATATGCAAGAATTAAAATTTATAGCAAGTAGTTTGTCATACCTGATATGTGCATTACAGTATCTTTTGGCATACTCCGTCCATGTTCCAAATTTTTGTGGAAAGAGAGCTTCAATCTGCATGAAAAGCTGTAACAATACAAGTGTTATCAATATGTCGCAACATTTTCAAGTAAATATTATTACTATGATAAATCTAGTTAAAAAAATAGTGGAGTAAAAAAGAAAATCCATCTCTTCTTTCTCAGCCTCCTCCTTTTCTTCCATCCACCCATCTTTGCCACCCTATTCTTCAGGGGTAACTGCTACACTTTTCTCTAAAATACATTTACATATTTTGTATGCCTATATAGGGATATGTATATATTCTCTTTTATTCACATGAAGATGCTATTATACATATAAAACTAGGATTCTGTCCCCTAAAACATGTCTTAGACATCATTAGAGTACATATACATCTATTTTTACTTAGTTTTAAAAATTATCTAAGCCATGGTATTACTATAATAAAGTACCATTTAAAGGCTCATAGCACCCATTATCATGTAGAAGTACTGTAAAGTATTTAAACAGTCTCCTGATCATGGACCTATAGGCTGTTCCTAGCTTTTATATAATTATAAAATTAATAACTTCAGGTAAGTCTATGTGTGTGTATGTGTGCTTATATATATGTAGGCGTAAGTATAATGTCTACATCTCATCTATCCACCATTTATCTATTTATCCATCTATCCATCCACTTACCCACCCACCTGCCAATTGGTATTTCCATTAGATGAATCTGTAGGATATATTTTTAGAAATGAAATAGGTGTGTTTAAGATATATGCTTTTTGAAGTTTGATGGATGTTATTGTGTTCCACTGCAAAAAGGAGGTCCCATCAATAGTATCATGAAATCTTTTCATTTTTATAACTTTGATACACTGCACATAGTAGTGTCTCATTGTTATTTTAGTATACATTTTTAAAACACCTGCTTTAGTGAGAAATAATTCATATACCACTTTCATTATTCACACTTTTAAAGTGTACAATTCAGTGGCTCTTAGTATATTCACAAAATGCCTCAATCACCACTATCTAATTCTTAAATATTTTTATCACTACAGACAGGAACGCCATACCCATTACTAGTCATTTCCCATTCTCTCTCTCCCTCAATCCTGGCAATCACTAATCTGATTCCTATTTCCATTACTTCGCCTTTCTGGATATTTCACATAAAGAGAATTATACAATATGTAGCCTCTGTGTCCGACTTCATTCACTTAGCATAATGCTTTCAAGGTTCATCCATGTTTTAGAATGTATCAGTATTTCATTCCTTTTTATGGCTGCATTTTCAATATCCATTCATCAGTTATGGACACTGGTTTCTTACTTTTTTGGATATTACAAATAATACTACTATGAACATCTGTATACAGTTTTTTTTGTGAACATATGTTTTCAGTTTTTTGTGTGTAAACTTAAAAATGGAATTGCTACATCTTATGGTAATTCTATTTTTAACTTTCTAAGTAATTGCCAGTGTGTTATCCAAGGATTGAAATATATAGCTGTATATGTCTCCATTAAAAAAAGAAAATAGATCTCATGGGGCACCTGGGTGGCTCAGTCAGTTAAACGTCTGCCTTCAACTCAGGTCATGATCCCAGGGTCCTGGGATCGAGCCCCGTGTCAAGCTCTCTGCTCAGCGGGGAGCCTGCTTCTCCTTCTCCCTTGCCCCTTCCCTTGCTAGTGCTCTCTCTCTCTCTGTCAAATAAATAAATAAAATCTTGAAAAAAAAAAGATCTCAAATCAATCATCTAACTTTCCACCTTAAGACACTGGGAAAGAAGGAGTACACAAAACGCAAAACAGACAGAAGGAGTAACATAATGAAGACTAGAATGGAAATAAACAACATAGAGATTGGAAAAACAACAGAAAAAATAATCAATGAAACCAAATACTGGTTTTGATAAGAATGAGAAAATTGACAAAATTTTAGCTTACATTAACCAAATTAAAAAAGAGAGAGAGAAAAGACTCAAGTTACTAAAATCACAAATAAAGGAGGGGACATTACTATCAACCTCACAGAAACACAAAGGATTATAAGGGAATATTATGAACAACTGTATGCTAATAACTTAGATACCTTAGATAAAATGGAAAAATTCCTATAAAGATATGTATCAAACTTGCTCAAGAAGAAATATACAATTGAATAGACATAATATTCAGTGAACAGACTGAATGATTAATTCAAAAACTATCCACAAAGAAAAAACTCAGGCCCAGATGGGTTCACCACCAAATTCTACCAAACATTTAAAAAAGAAGTAATACCAGTGTTTCACAAACTCCTCTTAGAAACAGAAAAGGAGAGAATACTTCCCACCTCATTCTGTAAAACCAGTATTGCCTTGACACCAAAACCAAAGATATAACGATAAAACTACAGATCACTATTTTTGTGAACATACACACAAAAATCATCAACAAAATAGAGCAAACTGAATCCAGGAACAAAGAAAAAGGATGACATCCAGTCAAGAGAGATTTATCATGGAATATAAAGTTGGTTTAACATCTGAAAATCAATGAACTTAATACACCCTATCAACAGCTGTCTCCCACGCTTGGCTTACTAATCAATAATAAAAATGGCTACTGTATGTTGAGTGCTTACCATGTGCCAGGGCACATAGCAAGATACTTTCAAACCAGTATTTCCTTTAAATTTAAACCCTACAAGACAAAAAGTACATTTTTTTCTGTAACTCAGTGTTCGTTAATGGAAAGGGCTTCTCTAGGTTACAATGACCCTTATAGACTCATAAGAATTTCACCTGTCATTTCTTCCTCCCAACCCCTTAACTACTCCACACTCTGCACAGCTCTTAGAGTGGTAAAGGTAAATGGGGGTATCAAACAAATGCCTTATTTCTCCATCCAAGTAGTTATTCTACCTGATCTGAATATAAGTTTAGATACCTATACCTTCCCAGACTACGGATCTTTTTTTTTTTATTTAACATTTATTTGTTTATCTTAGAGAGAGAGTGCAAGTAGGGATAACGGCAGAGGGAGAGGGAGAGGAGAATCTCGGGTAAACTCTGTGCTCAGTGTGGAGCCCTAAGCAGGGCTCATCCCACAACCCCGAAATCATGATCTGAGCCAAAACCAAGAGTCTGATGCCCAACTGACTGAGCCACCCAGGTGCCCCCAAAACATGTATCTTGAAGTAAAAGAGAAACAGAAAGAAGTTCTGTAATGCAATTCAAAAGATACAAAATAGATTAAACTCCAATCCTAAATTATATCCTTATAATGTCAAACAAACTGGACAAATGAAGACTAAAACCATGTAAGAATCACAAGAAAACAAATGTGATGAAAATTACAAATGTATACTAAATATGAAAACCTTATGCTGAAAGTAAAAACTATTTTTTTCTACACATGTACAAGCACAGGTAAGTTTCACATGTAAACAGAGAAAACGGTCATAGAAAAGATACATTTAACCATTAATAGCCATCTAGAAATTCCCAATGATTATTTTTGGTGAAAGACTTCTTTTAAGCCAAAATTTAAGGACTTTAATACCTCTTCAGGCCTTCCCAAAGCTGGAGTTCCTGTAAGAAGAATGGCTCGTTTGGCTTTCTGTACTATTGGCAATAAAATCTTGCTGCGGGTTGCGTTCCTGGACTTCATGTAGTGTGATTCATCCACTATAACTATGTTGAATTTCTGATTATTCAATGCATCTATCAAAGTCTCTGCATCTGCGGTTAAAAGACCATAACCCAGAACTGTCACTTTGCTGGTTGATATTCTCCTAGAAAAGAAAAAAAATCAATGTAATTTAAAAAATATTTCAGTAACCAAATTATCCATAAACAACACAACTCTTTGGGAGAAGGAAAACAAAGAAAATAAGGGGAAAAATAAAAGGGATGGTATTACACTGCTAAACCTCAATTTCTCTTAAGACTTTAGTTTTCAGGTATGATTAACCAGAATCCAAAATTTAAAGGATAACCAAAACCAAATATTTGGTTAAATGGTCTTTGGAAGAGTTTGACATCCACCAAGCCACATTTTACTAGGATAAGGACATTACTCTCTAAGAATATTTATTTCCAGGCATCTAGAATCATAGATAAAGTGGATATGCAAATATTAATTGACTATTCATTGAAGTCTTCCCACAAAGAGGATAGCAATATTTTTCAAGCCAGGTGCTATTGGAATTTTGAAGACAATACTTAGTATTGCAGGGCTGTCCAGTGTACTGCAAGGCATTTCATATTCCTGGACTGTCACATTAAAGGCCAGCAGAATGCTTGAAATTGTGACAACAAAAATTCACTGGCTGAGGGGTGATCCAAAGCATGGGAAAGAGGAGAGGAGGATACAACTTTATGCAGACAAACACTGGACTAAAGAGATTGCTCATATTTTGAACTACTTAATTATTCACACATCTATAGTATTTTTTCCTATGTTGTAATGAAATTATTCATGTACATATTTATCTCCCTTGCTACCTCATAAAACTGATGAGGACAAAGAATGTATCTTATTCATCTTTGTATGTATAGTGATAGGCTCCTAACCAGTTTGTAGAATGAAATAACTGGACAAATAAATGCATTAATAATAAAACACATTACTTTTGCATTTTCTATATCACCAGTAAAAATATACAGGATAGAGTCAATCTTCTGCAGTTCCTCTTCCTAAGAGAAATGGCAGAGCTCCTAAATAGCACAATACAACGACACAACAATTGCATTTAAAAATTTTTTTCAACTTATTTTTAAAATTTTAATTCCAGTGTAGTTAACAACAGCGTTATATTAGTTTCAGGTGTATAATATAGTGATTCAACAATTCCATATATCACCCAGTAACCATCAAGATAAGTTTACCCTTAATCCTCTTCACCTCTTTCATTCATCCACCCCCCCACCTCCCCTCTGATAAGCATCTATTTGTTCTCTACAGATAAGAGTCTGTTTCTTGGTTTGTCTCTTTTCTCCTTGTTCATTTGTTTTGTTTCTTAAATACCACACACAAGTGAGATCATATGATATCTGTCTTTCTCTGATTGGCTTATTTCACTTAGTATTATACTCTATAACACAGCAGGTTGGTGTAAATGGCAAGATTTCATTCTTTTTTATGGCTGAATAGTATCCCATCATGTATATACCACATCTTCTTCATCCATTCATCCGTCAATGGACATTTGGGCTGATTCCATAATTTGGGTATCGTAAATAATGCTGCAAAAAAATTGGAGTGTGTATATCCTTTGGAATTAGTGTTTTCATATTCTTAGGGGAATACCCAGTAGTGTGATCATATGGTAGTTTTCTTTTTTTTTTTTTTTAATTTAAATTCAACTTGGTTAACATATAGTATAGTATTGGTTTCAGGAATAGAATTTATTGATTCATCACTTACATATAACACCCAAGTGTCCTCTTTAATGCCCATCACCCATTTAGCACATTCTCCCAGGCACCTCCCCTCCCTCAACCCTTAGTTTCTTCTCTATAGTTAAGAGTCTCTTATGGTTTGCTCCCTCCCTGTTATCTTATTTTATTTTTCCTTTCCTTCCTCTGTGTTAATCTGTATTGTTTCTTAAATTCCACATGAGTGAAATCATACAGTATTTTTCTTTCTCTGACTGACTTATTTCGCTTACCATAGTATACTCTAGTTCCAACCACGTTGTTGCAAATGGCAAGATTTCATTCTTTCAGATTGCCAAGTAATAGTCCATAGTTTATATATACCACATCCTCTTTATCCATTCATCAGTCAACGGACATTTGGGCTCTTTCCATAATTTGGCTATTCTTTTTTTTTTTTAGATTTTATTTATTTATTTGACAGAGAGATAGCGAGAGCAGGAACACAAGCAGGGGGAGTGGGAGAGGGAGAAGCAGGCTTCCCGCTGAGCAGAGAGCCCAACCTGGGGCTCAATCCCAGGACCCTGGGATCATGACCTGAGCTGAAGGTAGACGCTTAACGACCGAGCCACCCATACGCACCATAATTTGGCTATTCTTGATAGTGCTATTACAAAGTTGGGGTGCATGTGCCTCTTTCAATCAGCATTTTCGTATCCTTTGGATAAATATCTAGTAGTGCAATTGCTGGGTTGTAGGGTTATTGTTTTAACTTTTTGAGGAACCTCCATACTGTTTTCCAGAATGGCTGCACCAGTTTGCATTCCCACCAACAGTTACAAAAGGTTCCCCTTTCTCTGCAACCTCGCCAACGTCTGTTGTTTCCTGAGTTGTTCATTTTAGCCATTCTGACAGGTGTGAAGTGGTATTTCATTATGGTTTTGATTTGTATTTCCCTGATGATAAGTGATGTTGAGCATTTTTTTTTTTTATGTGTCTATTAGCCTCTGGATGTTTTCTTTGGAAAAGTGTCTATTTATGCCTTCTGCCCAACTCTTAACTGACCATTATTTGTTTTGGGGGGTATTAAGTTTGATAAGTTCTTTATAGATTTTGGATACTAGCCCCTTATCTGATATATCATTTGCAAATACCTTTTTCCATTCCATCAGTTGCCTTTTAGTTTTGTTGATTGTTTCCTTTGCTGTGCAGCTTTTATTCCTTTGCTGTGCAGAAGATATTTATTCAGGGCGCCTGGGTCGCTCAGTTGGTTAAGCGACTGCCTTCGGCTCAGGTCATGATCCTGGAGTCCCGGGATCGAGTCCCACAACAGGCTCCCTGCTCAGCAGGGAGTCTGCTTCTCCCTCTGACCCTCCCCCCTCTCATGTACTCTCTCTCTCTCAAATAAATAAATAAATCTTTAAAAAAAAAAAGAAGATATTTATTCATTTATAAAACCGGCTGAACCAGTAGTATACTGAACAACAGTGGTGAGAATGGACATCCCTGTTGTGTTCCTGATCTTAGGGGAAAAGCTTTCAGGTTTTCCCCACTAAGGATGGTATTACCTGTGGGTCTTTTGTATATGGCCTTTATGATCCGGAGTTATGTTCTTTCTATCCTTACTCTTTTCAGGGTTTTCATTAAGAACGGATGCTATGTTGGGGCACCTAGGTGGCTCAGTCATTAAGCATCTGCCTTCGGCTCAGGTCATGATCCCAGGGTGCTGAGATCGAGCCCCGCATCAGGCTCCCTGCTCGGCGGGAACCCTGCTTCTCCCTTTCCCACTCCCTATGCTTGTGTTCCTTCTCTCGCTGTGTCTCTCTCTGTCAAATAAATAAATAAGATCTTTAAAAAAAAAAAGGATGCTATGTTTTGTTGAATGCTTTCTCTACATCTATTGAGAAGACATATTGTTCTTACTCTTCATTAACATAATCCTGTTGATTAATTTGTGGATATTGAACTACTCCTGCAGCCCAGAAATAAATCATACTTGATTATGGTGAATAATCCTTTTAATGTACTGTTGGATTCAATTAGCTAGTCTCCTGTTGAGAATTTTTGGATCCATGCTCATCAAGGATACTGGTCTGTAATTCTCCTTTTTAGTGGGGTCTTTGTCTTATTTTGAAATCAAGGTGATGCTGGCCTCATTTAATGAGTTTGGAAGTTTTCCCTACATTTTTATTTTTTGGAACAGCTTCAGAAGAATAGGAATTAATTCTTTAAATGTTTGGTAGAATTCCTCAGGGAAGCCATCCAACCTTGGACTCTTGTTTGTTGGGAGATTTTTGATTACTGATTCAATTTCTTTCCTGGTTATGGGTCTATTCAAATTTTCTATTTCTTCCTGTTTCAGTCTTGGTAGTTTATATGTTTCTAGGAATGTGTCCATTTCTTGCAGATTGCTCAATTTTTTGGCATATAATTGCTCATACTATTCTCTTACAATTGTATTTCTGCAGTGTGGTTGTGATCTCTCCTCTTTCATTCATGTTTTTATTTATTTGGGTCCTTCCTCTTTTCTTTTTGGATAAATCTGGGTAGGCGTTTCTCAATTTCATTAATTCTTTCAAAGAACCAGCTTCTAGTTTCATCGATCTGTTCTACTGGTTTTTTTTTTAATTTCTATATCATTTATTTATGTTCTAATCTTAATTATTTCCCTTCTTTTGTTGGTTTTAGGCATTATTTGCTTGTCTTTTTCCATCTCCTTTAGGTGTAAGGTTAGGTTTTGTATTTGAGGCTTTTCTTGCTTCTTGAGGAAGACCTTCCCTCTTAGGACTGCCTTTGCCACATCCCAAAGGTTTTGGACTGTTATGTTTTCATTTTCATTTGCTTCCATGTATTTTTTAATTTCTTCTTTAATTTCCTGGTTAACCCATTCATTCTTTAGTAGGATGTTCTTTAACCTCCATGTATTTGTGGTCTTTCCAAATTTTTACTTGTGGTCGTAAGTTTCATAGCATTGTGGTCTAAAATATGCATGGTATGATCTCAATTTTTTTGTACCCATTAAGGCCTGAGTTGTGACCCAGCATGTAATCTCTTCTGGACAATGATCCATGTGCACTCAAAGACAATGTGTATTCTGCTGCTTTAGGATGAAATGCTCTGAATATGTCTGTTAAGTCCATCTGGTCCAATGTGTCATTCAAAGCCCTTGTTTACTTGTTGATCTTCTGCTTAGATGACCTGTCTGATGCTGTGAGTGGGGTGTTAAAGTCCACTATTAATGGGGCGCCTGGATGGCTCAGTTGGTTAAGCAGCTGCCTTCGGCTCAGGTCACAATCTCAGGACTGAGATTGAGCCCCACATTGGTTGGATTCCCTGCTCAGTGGGGAGTCTGCTTCTCCCTCTCCCTCTGCTGCTCCCCCTGCTTGTGTGCTCTTTTAAATAAATAAAATCTTTA